TTCAGTAAACATTCTATCCAGAAATTACGTGCCAGATGCAGAAATTAAGCATTCTGTGAAAAAAGTTAATATGTCGAATAATACTGAAATTATTCCTCTTGTAACATCTCGGTGGTCAGTGAAGAACTCAAAGAATAAGAGAAGATATTCTGTTTAATCCGTTATTGTTGAACAGCAGCTGACACCTTTAATTGGTCTTCGAGCGGCTGAACAAATGGACTTGGTTACTGTTCATCCTGAAAACATAGACCTCGTTTGTGCTGTTGCATAGAACTGCTCTGATCTAAAAAGGGACTGCCCTCCTTGAAAATTGACTGCTCTCCTGTGAAGAATGACTGATCTCCTCTGATCTATAAAGGGACTGCTCTCCTGTGAAAATGGACTGCTCTCCTGTGATCTAAAAAGGGACTGCCCTACTGTGAAAATGGACTGCTCTCCTGTGATCTAAAAAGGGTCCTCTGATCTATACTGCCCTACTGTGAAAATGGACTGCTCTCCTGTGAAGAATGACTGCTCTCCTGTGAAAATTGACTGCTCTGCTGTGAAGAATGACTGATCTCCTCTGATCTAAAAAGGGACTGCCCTACTGTGAAAATGGACTGCTCTCCTATGAAGAATGACTGCTTTCCTGTGAAGAATGACTGCTTTCCTGTGAAGAATGACTGCTCTCCTTTGAAGAAAGACTCTTCTGTAACTAATGACTTTCCTTCTGTAGTGGATGGAGCTTTCGCAGCACTGATAAACCTGAAAGTGAAAGAAAATGTGAAGTCAGTCGTAAAGCATGACAAAAGAGTGCCTTTAGCACTCCATCCAAGGCTGAAATCAGAACTTGATTGACCTATGTCCAAAGGTGTTATAACACCAGTAAATGAACCAACACCATGGGTCAGTCAACTCACGATCACAGAGAAGAAGTCAAAGGAAATAAGAATCTGTTTACAGAAGTCTAGATAAGCTGCCTATCTGCGTAAAACACTCATTGAAATTTACAAAATATGCACTGAAATATATCTATAGCTTCCCAAATACGCAAAGGAAATTACAGAAACACTTTTGTTAGTTGCTGACTTGCATACCCTGACTTACCGTTAAAAAGCAAATGCAAAACAAAAAGTAACTGACTGTCAAATGTAACAAGTGGATCGGGTAGATTATCAATTGAATTCCGATTACCTACAAGTTTTCGAAGCGTTCCGCTCCTAAGTCCTTTCTCACCTTTGGTAAGTTAGGGGGATTGGTACTGAACGTTAAAGGAGAATACGAGTGAATTGCAATAATTTGCTGGGTGAAAGATAAAGTCATCAGAAACATATTCCCAAATTTTCAATTAAAAATTATGTATAATTATGTTTTAATCGCGAAATCAGTTTCTGTAAATCTCAGCTTTGGCCATTATGCATATTTCGGCTGGAACCCACGTAACCTTTCCGCTCATGACGTCAGATGTGCCTGGAGTCCGCCATATTGCCAAAGACCAAGCGCTACAGTAGTACAAATCGTATTGTTTCTGTCGTTCTTTTAAATGGTACGGTGGTGTATTGCGTTGGCTGAGGATGCACGGCATCATCGAACATGGGGAAAGAACCACCATTTAATCCGTTTTCCAAGTGAAATTACAGATTTCGGCAGGAGAAATGCGCCGGTCATTCCGAGTCGGACGCATATGAAAGAGACATGCACGCATGGGGTATGGAAATCCCCAAGCTAGGCTGAAGAAGGAAAAGTATCCACGAGATTCATTTATACTCCATCATTCTCTGTAACAACTTACTGTCAGTGGAATTTTTAACATAAATTAAATCAAGTCCGGTGCCAGTCGAATTGCCCCCGCTACAAAATGACCCAGCACATTTGGTCAAATTGCCCCAGTTGGGTAGTCAAAATGACCAAATTTATTTAAAATGAATAAATATAGGGCTAAATGCATAGTTTTGTCAACTTTGATATAATGTTCTTCATATAAATTATTCATAAACTCATAAATAATACATAGTTATGAGTTTACTAATGAAACTTTTATCAGAAATAATACTTCCTAATAACTTATATATGAAGAACATAATATCATAATAAGTTGACAAAAACTATGCATTTACAGCATATATTCAATCATTATAAATAAATTTGAACAAATTAGAATGAATGACCAAATTTGCTTGGGCATTTTGTAGCTGGGGCAGTTAGACTGGTACACATGATAAATAATTTTTTTTATATTATCAAAATCAGTAAGTGATTTCACATGAGCTTGAAAATGTTTCGCTATAACGTTCTTTTCGGTTTGGAGCCCTAAATGATGCAGTCAACTGGAAACATTTCCGAATACAACGGCAAATCATGAAGTACTTTGTTGCTTTCATATTTTTCCATTTTGTCCAATTACGCACGTCATTCTAAGGCTATGACAGAGTACCATAACTATTTCCATAACCAAACAATGGGGAAACATACGTTGTCCTGACTAGTATTATATGAATCACCAGTTTTCGGGAAATAACTTATCTGCGTCGACCAGGCGTGGATCTTGTATCGAGACTTGATACGTTATTAATGTGAACTAGGATCCTAATTTTTTTCAACAAAATAATTCCAATGTAATTTTTGAAGCAGATAATTTTTATTTCCCCTCGTCTGAAGCATAATTATTTTGTTTTTAAATCCCAGACACCATACAGTCACCCATTTGACACAAAATGAACTGTAATCACATTTTTTTAAAAATAATTCTTAGTGACTGGTCATATATTTATAGGGGTGAGTTTGCTGGCTGGAACTGTATGACATTTTGCTGACAAATAGTAATCTTGTTAAATGATATGGTCTATTTTTAGATGTATTTTGACCTCAAGCGGCGCCTCCGTTTCGCTTGATTCTTCTTCTTCATCTTCAGTGGAAGATTGTTTTGCAAGATGTAAAATCGGATCGTATTGATACGGTCTAACATCCATTTCAGAAATGACACCAGGAACAGCTTTTACTGCTTCAGAATCCACGGACACTGTTAAGTTGTGAGGTAAAATCAAAGAGAAAGCCATCAGCAACAGGCACTTATGACGCCATGTCACGTGATACCCCCTCTGCTCATTAACTGTCGGGTGTTTCCGTAATAGGCGGAAATACAAGTACGTTTTTGTGTTTTTATTGCTATTTTACAAACTTTTTGTTCAATTTTAATCACGGAATGTGACTTTTAGAATATCCTTTACAATATATCAAAAGTTTTGTTTTCGTTTGTATTCTCCTTTAAACGAGTTGAGCAACCAGGCCGTTCTCCCTTTCACCTCGCCTTCCAGCACCTTCCAGCATGTGTCTGTAGGGGATGGTTCCTGAAGCAGGGGCTGTCCAGATTAAGGTCTTCGACTTTACTTCACTGGGGCCACCTGATAAATCGTGGGGAGGCGGGGCCTACTTGCCAAACTGCGTCCTTTTGCTTGGCAAAAGTTGCGGCTGAAAGCCTGAAAACCACATTAATTTCAGGACCACCCACTCCCTAGAGTTTTTGTGCCATGTAAGCCAAGGGGTTACCACTTAGAAGCAACCCATCACAAGTTCGGAGCTAGCATATCGGGAGTTGGTGCTTTCTCCAGGCCTCCTTGTGCTATGTGACGTCACGGTTGTTGAGTTGACACAGGGTAATCTGCGGCCAACCATCCAACCGTGGGATAATGCATACCGTGAGATAGGATAAGTTTAAAATTTGGAAATTTTAACCATAAATTGTATACTTATATACTTATCCTATCTCACGCGATGGATTCCCACCCGACCTGCCCCACATCACAGATTACTGGAAGCTCCAAGATGAGAATGACAGTAATGGGATATCACATGATCATCTGAGCGATCTGCATGCTTATAGAGATGATTGATAGATCCTGCTATTGGAGTTGGGGCAGAGGTCAAGTTGTCCTCAGGCCAGAAGATCTGATTCAACTTAGCCTACAGTACGTTTCCACATATGGGTCGTAGCGAAGAGAGAGGTGCATACCGTGAGATAGGATAAGTATTTAAATATACAATTTATGGTTAAAATGTCCAATTTCTCAAAGACTTTTTGCAGGTAAATTTGAAGTCATAACTATGCACATGGTTTAGATTCAATTATCCGACAACTTTTTTATTAATTACATCACAGTTACTCCATCTGTATAGTTTGAATAATGCTTGATAATAATTTGTTGATTTCTTTTATCAGTGAGTCATCGTCATATTCAACCTTATTTGTACCATCAGTGTTTGGAATTTCTGAAACAGTGTTTGATTCATAGCTGACAGATTCGTCAGACAACTTTTCAAGTGAAGTATATTGGTGCTTCCACTGGTGGATTAATATCTCAAATTTTAACTGTGAGCAGCTCGCAATCAGGAATACATGTCTGGTTATTTCTCATTGGATCAGCTGGCACAATATTTTGAAAGTTTTTAGACTGAAGTTTGATTTTACCAGTGCTACAATCCAAAATTCGTTGTCGTACCTTTGAAACGTTTGTTGGAGGAGCGTCAATAGAATGAGAAATAATAGTCTCAAAGACCGAAACAAGAGTACAAGAGCAGGAATGGAAAGTTGCCATCAGTAATAGGAGAAATGTAGTACACATACATTTAGCCTGAAAATTCAAGAAAACCCATTGTAACAGTGACTTTGTTAAAATACATGCATACCAATTCCCAGTACAGTATCGGTGCAAAACCATCAGAGTGTAGTCTATTTTTTTGCCATATTTTTCACTAAATGTAAAGAAATAAGCATTAAGACTTCACCCAGGACATTGAATAGGACTTATTTTGTTATAAAAGTGATCAAAAGCATCGTGTGGTCATCACTTGTGTAATATCAGGAGTAAAACAAACTTTTTCGCGATAGCTACGTTAGCTTCAGTCGAGGAGCCATTTGAAAGAGACATTTATGGCAAGAATGTTACAATATCATTATTTTCTGATTCCAAATATGTGGAGAAGGATGTTATGTTCTCATATTTAACATGTTGCATTTATTAAAGGTGGGGGATAAACAAACCATGAACGTGAAATCTGGGTTGTTCCTTAAAAACTGTAAAGTAGAAAATGGATTGTTGCAAAGGTGCCTGTGAAATACCCCCTGTGAACTTGGTGTCTAATCTCAGCCATCACGTGTCACCCTGAAAAATTAAGCACAGACTGAACAGCCAATCTAACCAAGACACTATGTTCTGCTATGTTCCTTCCGGGGTCATGTTAGGTAACTGTGGTCTGAGGCCATCACCCTTCGTATGCCAGTGACACCTGTAGGAGAAGGGTTTGCTATTGATCTGTTGAGGTATTTCTTGTGTACATTCAGGAGGAAAACATTACCTACAACCAGCAAACATGTAAACAATGGTTTATGAATTGAAGTATCATGACAACATTCAGCCATTCACTGATTAACTTTTTGAGGAAACACTTCCGGGTTTAACGAAATAGAGTTGTAGCATCAACAGTTTACCAGATCATTTCAAACAAAAGATTTCTCATTTTCTGAATGTTTTGGTTTTTTTCTCGGCTTGAATGCAGTATTCTAGACGTAGCCCCAGCCAGCAAAGCCTGCCTGCTGTGGAGCAATTATCACACTATAGCGCGCCTGCTGTCTCGCTATATCGCTTCCTGCGTAAGGCTCCAGTGCTCTCCATTGGCAGTCTTTAGGGGCAAACGATCCTTGTTTTGGGTTTAGGTCTAGGTGTTTTGACAAGCCCACTTTCATTCCCAACTGATGTTTTCCATTCATAATTAACTGACAAAATGGCATACTTTACAAACTATTATTTGTAAAAAAGAAGGAAAAAATGGAATCCTAAACTATGGAACCAAATTGTTTGAGATAGCTGTTATCAGAACCATAACATTTATTTTTAGGGCCTTAGTATGTAGAAAATAGGAGCTCATGTACAATCAGTGTCAGTCACTGTGAAATGCACACTAAAGATTCATAGGTACGTAAGTCACAAAACAAAGTAAATTTAAGCATCCTACTATTTTAAACCGCTGTATATATGTTTTTTTAATTTATGGCTGGATTGTCCAAAAATACTGTCTGAAGGGATGGTGTAAATCCAGCTAGGGTCCATGCAGGAAGCAAATGTACTGTAAGTCCCCATGGTCTCTAGTATGGTGATGTACCTTCAGTTGTTGGCAATCTATAGCCTGTTTTTATATTGCATTGTCATCTATAGTTAAAATGTTTTAGATTTAATTCCTAGTTTTAGATATACATCTGTGATAATCTAGTTGTTTTTCTGTCCTTCGTTGACAGGCTTTTAAAAAAATTACTTTTTATTACTATAAATCTATACCTTGATTTAGTATATGGCTGAAATACTGCTGATGTGACTTGAAATCTTAACTCACTGACTAAACATTCATAAGGAGAATCATCATTTATTGTCAGTGGACAGTGTAACCATAAACAAAACGTACCAAAGTAAGACTAACATACTGTTGCTCACTAGGTAAATTCCAATACATGGTGAAATCTAGAACCAACAGCTGGAAAAGTGGGTCAGAGTTTTCAGTTCATACCCTTTTTTGCTGTGTAATAGTGGTCTACCAGATATATACTGAACCACAAAAGAAACGTTGCCTTTCAAAACCAAATGCAATATTTTGTTCTTACAAAATTGTGTATTTACTATGATTGTATCGTTTTGTTAACATGTTTTTCAATCCAAATTGACAGTTATTACCAACATCAGTGTGTTTTCTGATGAAAAAGCATATCGACCAAACGCACCTAAAAAGGGAGACTACATAAAAGGTTCCATATGATATTTGTGAAAATGAAAATGCACGTGCATATTGTGACAACCCTGCCAATGAAAGCAAGTCCCAAACTCGCCTGAAATCATTTTGGTTTTGACACAATCGACATGGCACGACTTACGAGAGATCAGAGGAACCAAGTCTTGGGACGATTGCAAGTTGTCCAGAAAGCATGGAGGGTAGCCAATCATTTTATTGTTCATGTTAGGACAATCTACCGACCGCAGGAGAGGTATCACATCACTAACAGCATCCAAGACCATCCACACAGTGGGCGAACATCAGTAACATCACAACATCAAGACCGACAGATTGTGTGCCACCATCTGCAGGATCGCTTCCCGAGAGCAACGGAAACAGCACGCTAGACCATTGGGACTGGCAACATACCCATCAGTGCCAATGCAGTGTGTCGACGTTTGCACGGAAGAAACCTCTGCTGTCACAGACCATATCATAGTCCTGTCTTCACCGCTCATCACCGCCAAAACCGACTGCAATGGGCAACTCAGCATCGAAATTGGCGAAATTGGTGCTCTTTTCTCATGAAGCAAGTATTGTGTTTCCACATTCGATGTCAGAGTGAGAGTATGGTGAAGGTGTGGGGAACTGTTTTCCAGTGATAGTATTGTTGAAAGAGACTCATGGGGTGGAACCCGTGAAGGTCCGGGTTAGAATTAACCTTCAGCAACCCATGCTTGTCGTAAGAGGCAACTAACGGGATCGGGTGGTCAGGCTCGCTGGCTTGGTTGACACATGTCATCACTGGATTGTCTGGTCCAGACTTGATTATTTACAAACTGCCGCCATATACTAGTAGCTGGAATATTGCTGAGTGCTGCGTAAAACTCAACTCACTCACTCATGGGGTGCAATGGGTCTGAACCAGATTAGCTGACACCGTGGTGTTCCAGAATCTCTGTGCAGGATCAGGAAATGACGTGACAGCTGCACTCTATATTGACCAAGTCATAGTACCCCACATTGTACCACATTTTGGACGTTACAGAAATCACATCTTCCAGCAACACTCGTGCCCACACTGCCAGAGTAACATTGGACTTCCCAAGACAACATAGCATCTAAACCCTACAAAAACCTGCACTCAGTCTGGATTTGAGACCAAACCTTTGGGACGACATTCAAAGAAGACTGAATGACCTCCACCCAAGGGCGACAACTGCTGCTCGACTCGATCAGCATTTCACAGAGTATGGACGCAATTGCCTATGGCCTTCATCAACCAGCTAATTCATTCCATGTACAGACAATGCAACGGTTTAATCGATGCCCAGAGGCCACACACAACACTGACTTTGGGGGTATCTTAATGATACCATTTTTGGTGATTTTGTTTGTGTGAACTGTAAATGTGATTCCCGAAAATGTGTTCACCATAATTGTCAAGTTTGAACTCAATCCTCTGTTTTGATTGTTAATTAGAGTGAATTAAAGTGTGTGCTTAAGAAACCACTGTCGGTGTGACATTTCTTTTCTGGTTCAGTATATATTTGTGGAAAGGAAAAGGGTTTGAGATGATTCTTGTCTGCTGTTAATTAAGCAGTTGTATTTGTATTAAGTGCCTGGCTCCAGGAAGCACCCACTGTCAAACAGACAACTTTGGAAGTAATCTTATTAAGCATCCAACATATTCCTATCCTTTTGCATTTTCTGAAGTGTGAAACTTTAAACATTCATTCATTTACAGTAGTAAAACAGAACAAGCAACAGTGAACAAATGGCCAGACCAAGGTTGATAGTGTTTGATTTAGGTAAGTTTAATGGTTTCAATAAAATGCTGTGGATGTAATCATTTCTTTTAGCTTTAAACTGCGTTGTATGAGCTATATTCATTTTGAAAAAATAACATATATGTTATAATATTCCAAGGGTGTCATAAGGAATATATTGGACAAAGAGAGTGCTTGTGGGAAAGACTGCACATCCATAGACAACTGATTAAAGACCCGAAAACAAGGTGCATCCCCACATCCATAAATGTGCTACAGGAATGGAAATGAAATTTAAAGGGGCACTGATCCAGAGTGATTAATGTTTCTTGCCAACAATCTAATTACACCAGGTGGTCAGTCCCTGCTCCCTCGACCATGACGGACACAGGGACTGGGCAGCTGTCCACCTTGGCAGAATTTCTTCAAACTAAACAATGGGACAATAATAATGGTAGATGCCCATCAGTTGCCGCTATTTGAAAATACCCCGATAGTTCTAGTCTGATTGTAATAAAGTATCCCAGTAGTGTAGGCTTTTGGGGATTTTCTGATGCGTGGATGGTATAATGACTGATCCAATTTGATCCTATTGCTGTGTTTTTTACCTTGATAATTAATCATGTCATGTAACAATGTGATGTTTATTAACCTATGATGTTAAAAACACACATTTGATTTATTTTAATCCTTAAACTAAATCAACCCCACTTTGCCATTACTAGGAAAATCTAAAAATTTACTTAGGTAATTAGGTATATTCAGTTTTTAACTTTAGTACACAGCAATTGCTTATATGTATTTCGTATGCAACAATGAAGTTCTGTTCGTACCCTCCAATGAGCATCGACCCCTAAGCAATGCAACCACAAACACACACACACACACACACACACTAATATTTATATACAAAGTAAGTGACTCCCCCTGATACCATGTACAAAATCAATTACCCCCCTCACCCCTAGTACATGTGAACAAAATTGATGACACCCTTCCCCTCCACTAACAAGAGTCATCAGAAGATTACATATCCCCCCTGCCCCCACATATTTGAAAAAACAAATCATGCAACAGTTACTAACAGTCCAGCTTGATTTTTTTAGACTAAGTCCGAATCGTTTCCATGGAAACTTGGAAAATATAAATGCCAAAATTCTGTAAATAGCAAAAGGCACCACTTCAAGATCTGCCTCATATATCTGCCAAGTTCTGTTGAAAGATATTAAACGGTTTTCGAGTTGTGCTCCGGAAACGAAGCCCACCCCTCCCTCTTGAGACTAAGTCCGAATCGTTTCCATGGAAACCGAGAAAATAAGAAATCACAAAAATCTGTAAATAGCAAAAGGCACCACTTTTTGTTCGGTTTGATATATCTACCAAGTTTTGCAGAAAAATATAGAACGGTTTTTGAGTTATGCTCCGGAAACGAAGCCCACCCCTCCCTTTAAGACAAGTCCAAAACGTTTCCATGGAAACTGAGAAAAATAAAAATGACAAAAATCTGTAAATAGCAAAAGGCACCACCTTTGGTTCTGTTTGATATATCTACCAATTTTTGTTTAAAAATATTGAACGTTTTTTTTGAGTTAAGCTCCGGAAACAAAATGATTACAGACAGATGGACAAGGCGTCGACTATATCCCCCCGCATTACATGCCAGGGGGATAAAAATCAGCAGCAAATCAAAGGATTAACGAATAACACACTGATTAATTACTTTTATCTTGCACAACGGATTTGTCACAAGTTAGTGTTTATGTATGTATATTTACTAACGTACACAGAATACACCCACATTCTGTTGTAAAGTACCAGTGTAAAAACAACGTCCTTCCTTCAAAGGATTAACTGTCAATATGTTGATTGATTGCTCATTGTTGTCTAAGTTACATTTTTGAGGAATGGTGGACATCATGGAACTAGTTGTCAGGTATAACTATCACTAGTAATAACGTTATATACGTTTTTGCACATTAGACATGGAACATATATTTTTTTGTCAGCTGCAAATGAATGCCATATCGTTCCTTTTTGTAGATGTTTGATGGATACAATTCCTCAAACAAGGTAATAGCATGATATTATTGTTATAACTTGAATCAGTTTTAATTTTAACATTTGTATTTTGCTTTTATTCATTTGTTGTAGCATTCAGCAGAATCATTCCACTTCATTTTTTTAGCCGTGAAGTTAGATGAGACAGACAACATACACTAAGTCGCTCTTAGGGCGTGTGTGTGAAATATGATTCACATTGGCAATCTATAAAATGTCTAGATAGTACAGTCATGTCATAAATTCAATAAATACAGAGTGTGTACTTTTTATGAAGTTCCAAAATGTATAAACATATAATAATAAATTCATCAGGATTATAAGACAAAAATATGGACATACATTGACTTGTTTGGGTTTTTTCAGTTCTAACATGTAGTATCACTGGCAGATTAAGTGAAACTTAAAATTGTGTTCAGTTGTTATGATAGTAATGAAGATGGAAATATGAATGAGTATAAAATATTTCATCTTTGTTGATCAGTGTAAGGATATACATATTATACTTATACCACCAATCACACTTGCGGGTGGCACAGCAGAGATCACAACCCAGTCAAGAATTCTGGGATATCATCCGGGAAGTCGTGGGGGAAAGACTTGAACAAAAGCAAAAACCAGTCCTGGGGAATTGCTCTAGATCAGTGTTGACCGCCTCCGTGGTGCAGTGCTTAGAGCGTCCGCCCGGAGAGCGGAAGGTCACGGGTTCGATCCCCGGCCGCATCATACCAAAAGACGTTAAAATATGGTACTTGTTGGTCCCTGCCTGGCGCTCGGTTGGTCCCTGCCTGGCGCTCGGCATTCATGGGTACAACAAGGACTGGTCGGCTCGGAGTCGGTATAAATATGTTTGAGTGGGGTATTCATGCTTCACTGTGGCATGGTATCTCAGTGGGCTAGCACTATAAAATCAGGTTCAGTCTGGGCTAGTACAAGCAGCCGCACATACACATACACATACACATACACATACACACGCATGCACGTCGTCATATGAGCGAAATATTCTCAAGCACGACGTTAAACCCAATTTCACCTCACCTCACCTAGATCAGTGTCCCTTTAACATATTACCTTTTTTCAAAATGAATACAGCTGATACAATGCAAGGTCAAGCTAAAGAAAACTGTCTCATTGAAAAGTGGTGTCCACCTTTGAATTGGTAAATATGTATTTACAACTTATATTTACAATTGTAAATATCATTGTGAGCAGCTAATGTGATGCAACATCACAGGTTATGTCACAATATCATCTGTACCTGTAGTCTCTAACTTTCAGGCTTCCTTTATATTTCTGCATGGTTCTGTACTAATTTGTCATCAGTTTTCAGGTTGAATGGAACCATGTAGGTGTTTTGGGTCACTTGCCCAGATCCATTGCTGTGGGTAGAAGCCATCAGCTTGATACAAATGTACAGGCTTATAGATGTCTATATTTTCAAACTTCTTCCAGTTTTCAAGCTTGTCAGGGTCATGCTTCTAATTGTCCCAGACAAGTATCTTTTAAAATTGGTTTATTTCCCTGTAATGTGAAAAGACAACATGAAATGTTTATTTCTGTCGGCCATCATGCCAGACAGACAGATAACAGTTGAGTGCCCTAAATGAAGTGATAGCATACTGATGTCACACATAAAGCGCATGATCAGCGACCCATGAATCCATATATATAGTGTGTTATATGAAAGGAAATATAATGAATGTCTTTCACCCGCTGTAATGATGTTTATGATGATAAGCATGATGTTTACATCATACATGATCATATAGCAGTTATTCACTGACGTGAGTTTACACTACTTGATTCAGAATTAAGTGATATCTTAGATATAATTATTACACTAACAATTACAGACAGACCTAGAATGAATATATAAAGGAAATGATTACCTCTTGACAATCACAATTCTTTATTACCCATGAGGGAATTTTGGTGTAAAGTAGAGAGCTCAAACATTGATAAAATGATTAAATTATTTCCATACAATAAATAACACACATATGACACGCTAACAAGGTGAGACAAACACAAGGAATCATTTAAAAGATTAATGCAGTTGGGAACAAAGGATTTTATGGCACGATTGGATTTAAAACAGGGTAAATTATAACGGTGCCCAGAAGGCAGTAATTTATACTCAGTGGATGGGATGATCTGGATCAGATATAATCTTACGGGCTGACTTGAGAACTCTTTCTTCATATATTTCATTTAGGTTAGCAAAAGATACACCTGCAATTTTACTGGCTAATAAAACTATTCTGGTGAGACGGTTTCTGCTTTTAGGGACAAGGTTCCATAGCAGCATTGTACAGAAAAAGCCAGAACGCTTTGAATAAAGCAGATAGAAAAGACACATAATTGATTGATTAACATTGAACGATCTCAATTTACGCAAGAGGTGTAATCTTTGTTGACGCTTCTGGAATATAGCATCTATGTTTACATTAAAATTCAGTTTGTTGTCAATATATGTACCAAGATACTCGTATTCATTAACAGTGATGTGAATAGTCATCATGCAAAAATGGTGACAGTTGAATGTACATTGCAGATTGTCATGAAGTCACAGGTAGAAGCCCATTATTTCACTGTTAGCCAAATATAGGTAGCATGTACGGCATGTTCTCATTTCGCCTTCATACCAATTCGTCTTAAAACAACATTTCATGGTCTGTTGACTGTTGATTACGCAATGGTAAACTAGTGGCACCCCTATGATCTAAAAGTGGACTCTTCTAGTTGAAGTAGTTGAAGGACAAAAAGACATTTTTTAAAGAATTTATTTATATTATTTGTCTTATTTATTTACTGTTATTTGTCCATTTTCCGATCACAATGATATTCACATCATATAACATCATATCACATATGCTTACAATTAAATATATTCACATAGTGTGTGCAATAACTTCTAAAATGCCACTCAAAGAAGTTATAGTGTGTGCAGTCGAGTATTTCATATAAACAGATGAATAAGTAATGCATTATATATATATAAATATAGATAGATTGCAAATCTATCTGCAAATAGATTGCATAAAGATAATAGAAATATTTAGATGGAGTATTCTTACAGAAGATTCTTAAAACATTTATGATAATATTACAGAATAAACAAAGTTTTCTGAGAATACCTTTCTTATTATTGAATAATGTATACATTTTATGAAAATTTGGGTTGGAATAAAAATATGGCTTTAAATATTTAACTCTTGCATTTATAAAGTGAGAACAAATAAATAAATAATGAAATTCATCACCAATGTCGTTACCATTACAAAGTTTACATATTCTATCACGTTTTTGAATATTGCTCCAGCGGCCTGTTTTAATGGGTAAGTTATGATTTGCTGTTTTATAACGTAACACTGCCTGTGAACAATTATCATTTAAAATATCCAAATATTTACTCAACCTTAAATCTAAGTTAGATAAGGAGCTATATAAGATACCTTTTGATGAATGTTCTACCGTAGACAACCACACTTGCTCTTCTAGTTTACATTCATCTAGACATGAGGAAGGATAATTTGGAAGATTTACTTAATTAGTATGGCACTGACCAGTGAGTGAGGTTCATTATAAGAGTACCCGGTAATCTAGTTTTGGAGAAGAAGACCTACACATGCTTACCTACACATGATCACAAAACCACAACCCCCCAAAAGTTGTTATGGCAAATGAATTATCATTGATAAGGATCATTTAACATAGGCAAAAGTAATTCATTTGTATTGATTTACTTACATGTTAAAACCAACTTTTCCAGATTACACCTTGTGGCCGTTTTGGGTGGACTCACATCATGATCCCCCTTTCGTAAAAAGATGGTGAGTATCTGTGTACATGATTTTTGTTGCACGTTTATTGTCATCATATCCAAGTTGCGTAGGTTGATGCTCATGTTGCTGATCTCTGGATTGTCTGGTCCAGACTCAATTATTTACAGACCGCCGCCATATAGCTGGAATATTGCTGAGTGCCGCGTAAAACTAAACTCACTCACTCACTGTTGAGTTGTCCCCATGGTACAGTGCAGGCATGTGAATCTGGTGAGTTGTCCCCATGGTACAGTGCAGGCATGTGAATCTGCTGCCCCCATGGTACAGTGCAGGCATGTGAATCTGCTGTCCCCATGGTACAGTGCAGGCATGTGAATCTGCTGTCCCCATGGTACAGTGCAGGCATGTGAATCTGCTGCCCCCATGGTACAGTGCAGGCATGTGAATCTGCTGTCCCCATGGTACAGTGCAGGCATGTGAATCTGCTGTCCCCATGGTACAGTGCAGGCATGTGAATCTGCTGCCCCATGGTACAGTGCAGGCATGTGAATCTGCTGCCCCATGGTACAGTGCAGGCATGTGAATCTGCTGTCCCCATGGTACAGTGCAGGCATGTGAATCTGCTGCCCCCATGGTACAGTGCAGGCATGTGAATCTGCTGCCCCCATGGTACAATGCAGGCATGTGAATCTGCTGCCCCCATGGTACAGTGCAGGCATGTGAATCTGCTGCCCCATGGTACAGTGCAGGCATGTGAATCTGCTGCCCCCATGGTACAGTGCAGGCATGTGAATCTGCTGTCCCCATGGTACAGTGCAGGCATGTGAATCTGCTGTCCCCATGGTACAGTGCAGGCATGTGAATCTGCTGCCCCCATGGTACAGTGCAGGCATGTGAATCTGCTGCCCCCATGGTACAGTGCAGGCATGTGAATCTGCTGTCCCCATGGTACAGTGCAGGCATGTGAATCTGCTGCCCCCAAGGTACAATGCAGGCATGTGAATCTGCTGCCCCCATGGTACAGTGCAGGTATGTGAATCTGCTGTCCCCATGGTACAGTGCAGGCATGTGAATCTGCTGCCCCCATGGTACAGTGCAGGCATGTGAATCTGCTGCCCCCATGGTACAGTGCAGGCATGTGAATCTGCTGCCCCCATGTTACAGTGCAGGCATGTGAATCTGCTGTCCCCATGGTACAGTGCAGGTATGTGAATCTGCTGTCCCCATGGTACAGTGCAGGTATGTGAATCTGCTGTCCCCATGGTACTGTGCAGGCATGTGAATCTGCTGCCCCCATGGTACAGTGCAGGCATGTGAATCTGTTGAGTTGTTCCGATGGTACAGTGCAGGCATGTGAATCTGCTGCCCCCATGGTACAGTGCAGGCATGTGAATCTGTTGCTGTTCCCATGGTACAGTGCAGGCATGTGAATCTGCTGTCCCCATGGTACAGTGCAGGCATGTGAATCTGCTGTCCCCATGGTACAGTGCAGGCATGTGGATCTGCTGTCCCCATGGTACAGTGCAGGCATGTGAATCTGCTGTCCCCATGGTACAGTGCAGGTATGTGAATCTGCTGCCCCCATGGTACAGTGCAGGCATGTGAATCTGTTGAGTTGTTCCCATGGTGCAGTGCAGGTATGTGAATCTGCTGCCCCCATGGTACAGTGCAGGCATGTGAATTTGCTGCCCCCATGTTACAGTGGCGGCATGTGAATCTGCTGCCCCCATGGTACAGTGCAGGCATGTGGATCTGCTGCCCCCATGTTACAGTGCAGGCATGTGAATCTGCTGTCCCCACGGTACAGTGCAGGTATGTGAATCTGCTGTCCCCATGGTACAGTGCAGGTATGTCTGCTGTCCCCATGGTACTGTGCAGGCATGTGAATCTGCTGTCCCCATGGTACAGTGCAGGCATGTGAATCTGCTGTCCCCATGGTACAGTGCAGGCATGTGAATCTGCTGTCCCCATGGTACAGTGCAGGCATGTGAATCTGCTGTCCCCATGGTACAGTGCAGGCATGTGAATCTGCTGCCCCATGGTACAGTGCAGGCATGTGAATCTGTTGAGTTGTTCCCATGGTACTGTGCAGGCATGTGAATCTGCTGTCCCCATGGTACAGTGCAGGCATGTGAATCTGTTGAGTTGTTCCCATGGTACAGTGCAGGTATGTGAATCTGCTGCCCCCATGGTACAGTGCAGGCATGTGAATCTGTTGAGTTGTTCCCATGGTACTGTGCAGGCATGTGAATCTGCTGTCCCCATGGTACAGTGCAGGCATGTGAATCTGCTGTCCCCATGGTACAGTGCAGGCATGTGGATCTGCTGTCCCCATGGTACAGTGCAGGCATGTGAATCTGCTGTCCCCATGGTACAGTGCAGGCATGTGAATCTGCTGTCCCCATGGTACAGTGCAGGCATGTGAATCTGCTGCCCCCATGTTACAGTGCAGGCATGTGAATCTGCTGTCCCCATGGTACAGTGCAGGTATGTGAATCTGCTGCCCCCATGTTACAGTGCAGGCATGTGAATCTGCTGTCCCCATGGTACAGTGCAGGCATGTGAATCTGCTGCCCCCATGGTACAGTGCAGGCATGTGAATCTGCTGCCCCCATGGTACAGTGCAGGCTTGTGGATCTGCTGTCCCCATGGTACAGTGCAGGCATGTGAATCTGCTGCCCCCATGTTACAGTGCAGGCATGTGAATCTGCTGTCCCCATGGTACTGTGCAGGCATGTGAATCTGCTGTCCCCATGGTATAGTTCAGGCATGTGAATCTGCTGTCCCCATGGTACAGTGCAGGCATGTGGATCTGCTGTCCCCATGGTACAGTGCAGGCATGTGAATCTGCTGTCCCCATGGTACAGTGCAGGCATGTGAATCTGCTGTCCCCATGGTACAGTGCAGGCATGTGAATCTGCTGCCCCCATGTTACAGTGCAGGCATGTGAATCTGCTGTCCCCATGGTACAGTGCAGGTATGTGAATCTTCTGCCCCCATGGTACAGTGCAGGCATGTGGATCTGCTGTCCCCATGGTACAGTGCAGGCATGTGAATCTGCTGCCCCCATGTTACAGGCCAGGCATGTGAATCTGCTGTCCCCATGGTACAGTGCAGGTATGTGAATCTGCTGCCCCCATGGTACAGTGCAGGTATGGTACAGTGCAGGTATGTGAATCTGCTGCCCCCATGGTACAGTGCAGGTATGTGAATCTGCTGCCCCCATGGTACAGTGCAGGTATGTGAATCTGCTGTCCCCATGGTACAGTGCAGGCATGTGGATCTGCTGTCCCCATGGTACAGTGCAGGCATGTGAATCTCATAGATAGGCATGAGACCTTCTACCCAGATGTACCACGGGTGCTCCACCGCCTCCTCTCTGAGGGCTACACACTACATGTGTGATTTTGTTGCAGTGATGGGCAGGTGTATGATCTACATGGGCAGGTGGTCTCCTTCTACCCAGATGTACCACGGGTGCTCCACCGCCTACTCTCTGAGGGCTACACACTACATGTGTGATTTTGTTGCAATGATCGGCAGGTGCAGGTGGTCTCCTTCTACCCAGATGTACCACGGGTGCTCCACCGCCTCCTCTCTGAGGGCTACACACTACATGTGTGATTTTGTTGCAGTGATGGGCAGGTGTATGATCGACATGGGCAGGTGGTCTCCTTCTACCCAGATGTACCACGGGTGCTCCAACGCCTCCATTCTGAGGGCTACATACTACATGTGTGATTTTGTTGCAGTGATGGGCAGGTGTATGATCGACATGGGCAGGTGGTCTCCTTCTACCCAGATGGATCATTGGTGCTCCATCGCCTCCTCCCTGAGGGCTACACACTACATGTGTGATTTTGTTGCAGTGATGGGCAGGTGTATGATCGGCATGGGCAGGTGGTCTCCTTCTACCCAGATGTACCACGGTTGCTCCACCGCCTCCTCTCTGAGGGCTACACACTACATGTGTGATTTTGTTGCAGTGATGGGCAGGTGTATGATCGGCATGGGCAGGTGGTCTCTTTCTACCCAGATGTACCACGGGTGCTCCAACGCCTCCATTCTGAGGGCTACACACTACATGTGTGATTTTGTTGCAGTGATGGGCGGGTGTATGATCGGCAGGGGCAGGTGGTCTCCTTCTACCCAGATGTACCACGGGTGCTCCAACGCCTCCATTCTGAGGGTTACATGTTGGCTGTGGCTTCACGGTATTTCTTATGCTGATGATACTTCTAAAGTGTTTCATCTTTTTAGTTTCTCAAATCAAAACATACAATAATTATTGAACTTCAATTCCAGTCACATGTAAGATATATTTGCTGATGTGTAGTGTTGATTCATAGATAATGTGTACTGATTGTAATGAGCTTAATGCATGCTATTAATACCTTTTCTGTACATGGTCACATGACCATCATAGAGATCCTCGTTCTGATATAGAAACATGGCCTACATAATGCTACATGTGCTAACCTAGGAATGAACGTTACATGAAGGAATAAGACATTACACTGATCAGTACATTTGTGGTTTTTTCTTGTCAGATATATCAACATTAGTTGATAAAAGTTGAAAATAATGAGACTTGCCCAGGATGGTTGATATGTTTTACAGTACAACCAGAAATTATTGAGAATTTAAAGATTGTAAGGTTTTATATTTTTTTCACTCATTACTCACGTATTAAATGTGAATATTAGCAGAACATAACTCCAGATTCAAAGACAGGTGAACAGTTAGTATTTTGTCAAGTCACCATGGGCAGCAATGCAGGCTTCAATGTGGCGGGGCATACTACCGATCAAAGAAGTTAGAAAGTCGTGGACCATGCTGACCCAATATCGGCCCACCTCTTCTTTCATTTCAGCAATATTTGTCAGATTTTTCTTATTGACACTTTCCTTCATAAGTCCCCAAACAGTTTCTATTGGATTTAGGTCAGGGCTATAGCTTGGCCAATCTAATAATGTCATATTTTGGGTCCGAAACCAGGCCTGTGAATGCTTTGAAAGATGTTTTGGGTCGTTGTCCTGCTGGAAAATCCAAACATTTCCATAGAACACGTAAGCAGATGGAAGTAAATGTCCCTCGAGAATATCTGTGTACCGCTCACTGTTCATATTCCCTTCAAATACACAGAGGCGTTGCCCTAACACAGATATGCCACCCCACGTTAAATTTCGGACTGTACTTTGGGCTGATACAAAGGTTTTTCAGTTTGTTTGGTCCAGAATTTCAGTGTATTAGGAAACGGCCACACAGAACTTTCATCTGAGAAAATCACATTGTCCCAGTTAAAATTTCTATGCTGTAAGCACCAGTTCAACCTTCGCTCCTTTTGTTCAGGTTTCATGATCGGTGATGGAATTCCTCGACTTTTCTGCCAACCCATTGCATGCAGCTCAGTTCTAATTGTCTCCTTACAGACAGCCACAGTTCCTCTATCAATCATATCCAGCCTTAAGTTTTCTAAACTACTTCGTTTGTTTTTAGAAACAAGAATACCAAGCCGCCTCCTGTCACTGACAGTCAATTTTCTGGGCCTACCTGCGCCTCCCTGGTGCTCAATGCCATATTCATTTGCAATATTTTTCAAAACACGATAAACAGTGGACAAAGGGATGCCTGTTCTACTTGAAATCAATTTAGCTGATCTGATGCCCTTGTTATAATGCTCTAAAATCAACTTCCTCTTCTCTAAATCATCCATACTGAGGATCACTGAAAATGTCGTCTGCTAGCAAGTAAACAAAGGGGGATAACTCTTCACAAACAAATGAAAAAGGATTAACGGAGTTGTCTCTCTTGAATGAAACCAAGCACTTGATTGCTGGTCACGGTTGTTTATACTAGAAATCCAATTAAAGATATTCCTAAAATTCTCAATAATTTCTGGTCATACTAAATATCAAAAGACACAAGGGTGAGATTCTATATATCGTAAATAATCCTGTCCTTAAATTTTCAGTTGTTTATAGCAAAAACCACTGTTTTAAGTAGCTGTTCAGTAAGCTGTAGTGAAGGTATCAAAACCCATGCTGATCTGATTTGAAATTGGTTTTCAGCAACCCACGCTTTTCCTACGAGGTGATTAACTTCCAATGTTTCTCAGTGCTCATCGCTGTTGATCACTGGATTGTCTGGTCCAGACTCAATTATTTACTCAAATATATTGCTGAGTGCGGAGTTTGACCACAAATATACAGCTAATCTGCTGAAGTGGCACAGATAGTGATTAGCTTTGTGGTGCAGTTATTTGTAGCAGTATCTCCTGATTGAGTCACGTTTGGATGATCATTGACTGGGCATTTTCCATTTCACCGAGTTCCTGGCATGAGTGTAACATCATGAAATTGATGAGCTGATGATATTTGCAGATCAAGAACCCCTCCTGAGGCACATGAATTGTGTCATCTGTTTGACTGGGACAGATACTTCACATATAAAGAAATCTACCCTGGATCTAAAGTCAAACACTTTGGAAGGTAAACACGAGACAACTTCCAGCATGAGGTGAGGTGAGGTGAGGTGAATATTGGTTTTACGTCGTACTTGAGAATATTTCGCTCATATGACGACGTGCATGCGTGTGTATGTGTGTATGTGCCGCTGCTTGTACTAACCCAGACTTAAGCTGGTTTTATAGTGCTAGCCCATTGAGATACCATGCCACAGTGAAGCATGAATACCCCACTCAGACACATTATACCGACTCCGAGCCGACCAGTCCTGGTTGTACCCATTATCGCAAGCGCCAGGCAGGGACCAACAAGTACCATATTTTAACGTCTTTTGGTATGACGCGATCGGGGATCGAACCCACGACCTTCCGCTCTCCGGGCGGACGCTCTAACCACTACACCACGGAGGCGGTCACTTCCAGCATGAAGATACACGTGGTTCATATAAAGCTCAAATAATGGGACTGCAGCTAGCATTTGAAAACAGAAGTCTTTGGTTTGTTTGTATAATTGTGTTAAATGTCACTTACATATTTATGTGGGTTTTTTTTTAATTCTTGAATTATGAGTTCCTTGACAAATGTTAAATGTCAAGACAAATGTGTGACTCTACATTTAAGGTTTACGATGGCAAGTGGCATCCCTTATGAAGACATGCTGTTCTTTGACGACGAGCAAAGAAATATTATTGAATTGAGGAGTATAGGTAGGTGGACCAGCAAGGTTTTGATAACACAGGAGGTAAGCCCTGTGTTTGCTCAACCGGAAGTTGGTCATCATCAACTACCATTTCCTCGATAGACGGTCAATCCCGGTAGAGAGTGAGTCCCAAACTTTGTAAGATTTTGCTATTTCCAAATAGTAAATGTTTATGAAATCGACTTGTCTTATAAGCTGAATGGTCATGGATTATAACCCCTATATCATTTGGTCATGACACATTATATTTTGTTTACATTTGAAGCACTTCTTGACGCGTCTTTCAGCTCTAATCGGAAAAGTCGACCACTTTCGAAGTCTTTACAACATTATCAACTGAATGCATTTCACGTATTGTGCATTTTTAGGCTAAATGTGGTTATGTAGTCACTGTGTCAGGATGTTAGCTTCTGTCAAAGCATACTAACTGAGATATTAACGAAAACAACGGTAGTTACGTGTTTCCTGTTATTTATCAACTGAGGTAGGACCTTGGTTTGAAGTCTGCAGTTGTGTATTGAATGACATATTTGGTCCAATGTTTCTCTTTTTCCATCTATGCAAACTTTTAAAGCAATGCCACTGAAATATTCTGAAATCTTAGTAAGATAGAAATGATAACTGGGCCATCTGTGCACTTAAATGTGTTTTCAACCTTATCCAAAATGTGTCTTGATGGCACAGCAAAGTTAATATTTGAATCCTCTGGCTTTAAGTCACCTTAATCTTATTCTTCCAAGTGACCTGTTTTTAATTCCACTCATAAAACAGAAATTTTCGGTGAAATAACTTTTGACCGATTCTCCAGAATTGTTTAATCCGATCTCTGTATCTCATTTTCGTTGTTGTTTCAAGTGAATACCACTGTATTACGTCTTCAAACAATAGGAAAGCAATGTTATCCAAAGGGAGTTTTCCATGGTTTAACAAACGGTTGAACTTCATCCAGGTGTCAACCCAACTAACAATTTCACGTTGTCACAACGTAATGCTTTTGTTGTTACAACGTTATTCTGTGGACATAAAATCACACATCACAACGTCAGGCCACAACGTTGTGACACGTCATTTGTACGTCGCCACAAGGTTAAAATTATTTGATGCTTACATATTTGACGTTGTCTTACATTCTATTTAACGCTAATAGTTGAATAATTTTTCCCAGTAATGAACAGTACATAAAAAACAAAGCAGAAATTCACTCCAATGTTTATTTGTCAATTTGCATGTTGTTTTGGTCGTGTGTTTTCTGAGCTGTAGCTGAATAGTGAAGGAAGAATCTCTGAAAACTCTGTGATACCAACTTATAAAAAACGTTATAAAATTGTGAGGAGCCCAAAGGATAGCATTTCCTCAACGTAAATTTGTTATTACATTGTGACATAACGTTATAAAATGGAGAAATACTAACATTGTGACAACTTTGTGTCATGACGTTAAACAATCTACAACCTGGGAAGGTGTCTCGATTCTTTCTATGCTGAAAGGACACCTGGAAAGAAGTTCAGTGATGTCAGACGTCACATCCTCCTCTGTATCAACAACTGTTTCACAGCGACTTCTGGTCTTGCTGCACGCAACGTCGTGGTCAGTGTTATTTTCATCAACCTTCTGTTTCTTTTTTGACGGGGCCCTATGTCTTCAACCCTCAAGGTCAATGTAACTGGGTCTGGTGTACACGACTTGCCACATTTTTGGATTTCTAAGGGGATTATGTTTTCAAATATTTGGTTTAAAGTTTGTTTTTTACTGTCAATATCAGATATTCTTTGGCAAATCTTGATGACATTATGTGGATGGTGCTCACACAAATGTTTAATAATGTTTCAAAATTCTGATTTCCCTGCGCAATAATAGCAATGGAAACTTCCACCCATGATTGAAAGCAAACAAACAGATCATCTCAGTATATCCTTTCGTTGTAATAGTGACGGAACGAATCAGAATTGGATAGCTACCAATACAGTTTTGTGTGAGAAGAAACCAACAACCCGTACAGTGATGAAGCGACTACCATCAATGCATACAGTTTTGGTTTTTGTTAATATCTCAGTTTGTATGTTTTAACAGAAGCTAAATTCTTGACACAGCAGCTACATAACCTCATTCAGCCTAAAAATGCACAATACATGAAATGAATTCGATTGATTATGTTGTAAAGACTTCGAAAGTGGTCGATTTCTCGGCTTTTCCGATTCACACCGAAAGACATGTAAAAACATGCTTCAAATGTAAACAAAATATAATGTGTCATGACCAAATGATATAGGGGTTATAATCCATGACCATTCAGCTTATAAGACAAGTCGATTTCATAAACATTTACTATTTGGAAATAGCAAAATCTTACAAAGTTTGGGACTCACTCTCTACCGGGATCGACCGTCTATCGAGGAAATGGTAGTTGATGATGACCAACTTCCGGTTGAGCATAGACAGGGCTTACCCCCTGTGGATAAGATACATCTGTAGACGGTCTGCAAATCTTTGGGTGTGTGCATGTTTAGTTGTTTATGTTGATGGTTCAAGCTGAATGTTGGATGTATCCAGCAAGTATCATTTACAATATCAACTGATGACATTACATTGGTCAAACTTTTCCATGATCTGACCGAGTAAACAAAAGCATATTTTGGGAAAAACTTGTCTTCAACACCTTTTTCTACTCGTTAATCATTCTGAATATCATGACCTAAAATTCAGTTCTTAAAAAAACCTTGGGTTGTATTTGAGATGTCAACCATCCATAAACACCAAAAAGCTGTTTTATTGTATCAGTGCGTGGTGAAAAGGTTCAACCACATCCATTTGATGAGAAAAATATATCTCTGATTAATTACTCATCGAAATAGATTGTCAGTGTGAAGTGTCAAGTAACTGAAGTACAAATAAATAATAATGGCATGCCGTTTTGCTTCTTACAAACGATATAATATACAGATATTCCGTCCACTTATTCACTGATAGTGATACCCTAGCCATATCGTTTACATTACTAAGGTTATTATTTAGGATATTTTCACTATATACTAAGGCTGATGCATTATGCATTAAACTTGTTGACATAACAAATACGTTACTTAAGGAGACCTAACAGATACACAAGGTTCTACTGGTTGTGTTATCCCTTGTTTAACACAAAAATTAATTGGATCCAGCTTTGCTTTGGACCACAATGCCCAAATGTTCACCAGAATGGCATCCACAGTGATTCCAACCTCAAAAGCAGGTTCCAAGTCAACTTCCTCCTTCACATGATCATGCAGACAATCAAGTGAAAAGACTTGTTCTTCCAAGAAAGGAAATAAGCTAGGGTTCTGTCTCAAGGTCTAGGGATGGTCATCCTCTGTCAGTCACCATAATGACAGTGTATAAAATAGTTTTGAAATATGGCCTGTCCAAGGACTGGCTGTCAAAAAAATGTTCCAGTCCTGAACAAACACAGCCAGTCCCAAAAGCTAAAACACTATAAAATAATAGATAAGATGAAGTTCAAACCAAGTTAAGTTTATTTTTTCAAATATTTATCCCAACCCATCCTTCACAAAAACAAAAACCTGTCAAGGACAGTGGGACAGGCTATGTTTTATACTCTGATAATGAACGGAGGAATGACAGGGGGATCATCATTTGAATCAGGAACAATGGTCATCATAAGGTCTGTATGAATGATCAGGAAGATTGAAAGATGGATCAGAAGTTATCAGCAGGATCAGACATGTACCACAGTGATTGTATGAATAATGATGAGCAGTTGGACAATCAGGTGGATAGGAAGTCAGATTGTGGGCAATCAACAGGATTGGACATTCATCAAAGGGATCATAGGGATGATCTGGAGGAATCAAAATTTAATCAGAATCAGTTGATAGGATCAGACAATCACCTTAGTGATAGTACTAATATTTGAAAGGATCAGCAGTCAGATTGGGAGTGCTTGACAGGCGTAAACTATCACATTAGAGGTTGTAGGAACAGTTTGCAGGAAATCAAATCAGGAGCGATCAATAGGTTTGGATGAACACTTCAGGGTTTACACAGATTTTTAAAAGAATCAACAGTCGGATCGGGAGTGTTTTACAGGATTGGCTGGTCTCCTCGGAGAACTGAGGGGTAAAAGGGAGGTTCGACATTCAGATCGAGAACGTTCAATCGGATTGGACCTTCGATCTAAGGGTCATCAACTCTATTGCTACTATTTGACAGAAGAGATATGGTTTCAAACCACCTGGATTCATCCTGTCAGATGCAAGTACACTTGGTTTGTAATCTTTCTGTAGAGCTCCAGAGCTTGACATTTGAATCCTTTATACACACTTCAGTGTTGCAGACAGAAAAATGATGTACAGATGATTATGTGCACATACATTCGAAAATGTCCTGAAACTAATTACTCATCCATCATAAAAATCATGTGTGTAAGATGGAATATCTGTTACTGCAGTTGGAATGATTGGTTCAAGATTAGGCTCTTTCAACAACCCTGGTATGCTTCTGCCCACTTCAAATGTGCCATCCAGGAGATCAGCAAAAATAGGAAGAGGTAGGACCAGCGCCAGGTATCAGAGGAGCTTGAGCATCTTCAGAAGCTCTAAGTGGAGCAATCAGTTCAGCCCCAACAACCCAGATCTCAGGGAGGTTAATCAATCCAAGAACAGTTCCTTCCATGGCAGAGGAGGCAAGAGCGGACATGGCTTCAAGTACAACATGCCACAAAGACAATCATCTTTTGGCTACGGAAGATAATATTTTTCACCATGATCAAGGACCATTTTCTAAAGGACTATCCTAAGCCACAATCATATTCAGTTCGAGGGAGGATATCCATGTATGTCAAATATTGGATTTCACTGCCAATACTTGGCTACCAGGAATACAAGATATGGTTACAATCCCTCCAAGGCGTAGAAGATCATGAGGATCTGTCGTTGTTAAGGCGTTTAGGCTCAACCTATACAATACTAAGGACTGTAGCTTTCGTAAATTTCTGTCAACAGGTCAGTGAGC